CTTTTTCTGACCTTTTTCACTTATTTATTTATGTTGGTGACGATCCGACCTCCATGCTGCTACTCTGGTTCAAACTGCATCCACCAAACAATATGATTGATCTCGACCTCCCCAAAATAACCAAAATCTGAGAAATTGAGAAACACCCACGGTGTGAGATGTCTTTTTTTAGCTGTTCTGTCGTCATTTCCCGCGATCTTCTTCATGCAGTCAGTCAAAAGGAATGAATGAATGGGTGTTTCTTTGACTATTTATAGGCAAATATGGGCGTTACGTGAAGCCCGCAAAAGCTGCGACGCATTTCGAGTTGATTGTGATTTATAAAGTGAAACCGGCGTAGGATGTGCCGTACGCAGTCTTTTATGAATCGGAAAGTGTCGGTGCGTATTTATTAGCTTTGTCCTACGTAAGCAACCTTCTCACGCCAATCCTACGCAAGGCTTTATAAATGAGGCCCCAGATATTTTTGGTAAACCCTTGTTGTACCTGTTGAAACATTTTTTTTAAATACCGAATTGTAAGCAGTGTAACTCCTCTCAACATGTTAAGGGACGATGACATATATTTTTCTCTGTAGCTTTGTTTAAAAACGTCTTTACTAAAATAATTAAGTGAGAGATTTAATAACATCCTCCGATAATTATTTCATGTTAGTAACCACCATGACATTCAACACTCAGACATGCCGTGGGATCAGTGCCTCTGACCCTGCGCTGCCATCCTTCAACACTCACTTGTCGCTGTTTCATTAACCTGACTCGAAGTAACCAGAGAAGATGTGAGGGATGTGTGGGGGGAAGGATGTTGAAAGAAGAGTGGTGGAGTGATGTGTGGGTGGCTGGAGATAATCTCTCAGACACCACAAGGTGTCGTGTTGCCATCTTGGATATGGTCGCTAGGCAACAGCATCCTTCTGTCTTTCTCTGGGTGGTAACTAGGTTACCCCAATTTACTGTTATCATGTCGGTGTTTCTTCGCTGATTTTTTAACAGCAGCACAGGGTCCATGTTCCTGCTAGTTGCTAAATGATATCAGCTGCTCGGGCCCGGGCGCGGCAGGCGGGCCACCCCGGGCTGCAGGGGTCCTTCAGTTACACCAGTTCATCCAGAAGGGTCCCTATGCTGTGGTGCTGCTCAGGGGGGCCCGCTATTGGTTTGTTGCACATGGGGCAGACGCAGCGCACCTCCAGCCATTTTACCAGACACCTGTTCAGGAGAGAAATTAAAAGGATAGAGCAACATGAGACCATGATTCCTCTCACTATTATAAATATGTTTCACTGATCAAAGCCAAGCCATACTTGATTAACCATGGGGAAGAAATATTTGGATCTTGGGCTGCAAATAACAATTAATTGGATTATTGATGATGATATTCTAATATTTAAAGATAATCGGTTTAATATCACATAAAACAGGACAGCTCCGCATTTGAGGGTCTGAAAAGCATTTCCTGCCATTTAAGCATGAAAATTACGTTAAAGTTATTGAAATTGTCAAAATATCCTAATTTATTTATTTTAAACGGACAATGTTTTGTATGTAAATTGATGTTCAAAGTAACTATAAGTGTAAAAATAAGGATAACGTGGCAAAGATGTTCCTCAAAACTGGACTTGTACATTTCACCACTGCCCATGCATGAACATGAGAGAGCCCTGTAATATAAAGAAACTTTGATTGAAGTTAGTCCACATTTTCCTTTTATTCCTTTATGACTTATGATTCTTTTTTTCAATCTATAATAATAGATCCCACCCATTGACTTTTCTGCCCACGGTTCTCCAGCCAATCTTTAAGTAGAATAATAATAACTTCTCTCAGACTTACTTACTATAGCACAATGTACCACGTCCAAGATGTTAAGGAAACTGAGCTTTAACAAACACCTGCTTTTTTATCTTTACTGCCATAACCTGGTACCTGTCCGATCTCCTGTCTTCATACAGACAGACGCTTAGTGAGGATTCTTCACATCAATAAAGTCTTTATTTTAAGTCTTTCTTTATTATACATTTCCATTAAATCTGTCCTTATTGAACTGCAGTTTGAGAGACATGGTTTAAACTGTTCTCTAAGACATCTCAAAGAATATATTCAGCTTCTACTGTTATGCACTGTGTCAAACTAAAATAACAAAATAACATTATTTGTGCCTCTCTTCCATTAAGTCCCTCCTGATTAATATTGACATCAAAAAATCTTCTAATTTTCCAGATGACTGTGAGGAAATCACAATTTTAGAAGCCTAACTAACGTCAGGAATGCCTCCCCTGCAAGATCATACAGTAGCACTATCTATTCCGGTTGTATACCCATTGCATGCTGGGATACGCGTTTGCTCTCACTCTTTCTCCCTGAATGTTGAACAAGAGCTCCTGTAGCTGCAGCCAGCAATAAATCCACTGAAACTCTCTGTATAATTCCTGTAAGCACTGAACTTTAGATGAAACATGAACGTTTTAATATGAACAAGCCAGTGTGGGTGCAAAGCGGTAGCAAGCATCAGAGAAAGACTCCACTGTTCTCTCATGTACTCACTTCCTGTGGAAAGCATGTTGGCATGGCAACACTCCCAGCTCGTCCTTCACTTTGAAGTCCTCGAGACACACGGCACACGTCTGCTGCAGGAGGTACACACAGGACGCAGTGAGGACCCTCATTTGATGAAATGATCATGCATTATCTTTGTTTACGTTTGTGTCACCTTATACATCTCTTAAGGTGTGTTTATGTGCAAGAATCAGTGCAAATGTGCATTATAATAACATCCTTACCCCATGAAGATTCAACTTCTTTGGATCACCTTTTAAAACCACCTGCAGGATTGACACAAAATAAATATGTTTAAAAGAGGGTTTTGTTTCTGTAAAGTGTGCTTAAATATTGCAGTCAAGCCTTTACCTCTCGGTATCCAAACCGCTCACTCTGGGCTTGGTGTCGTAGTTTGCTGTGGATTAAAATTGAAAAAGGTTTTTAATAAACATATTAAAT